TGCTCGCCCGGTACCCCCTCAACAGCGCAAAAAGTGTCCAGCTGATGCTCATGATGCTCGCCCGGTAGCCCCTCAACAGAGCAAAAGGTTGCAGCTTGATTGCTCATGATGCCCGCCCGATACCCCCTCAACAGCGCACAACTTTCCAGCTTGATGTTCATGATGCTGGCCCGGAAAGGGTCCGGCTGATGCTCATGATGCTCGCCCGGTACCCCCTCAACAGCGCAAAAGGCAGATGATGCTCATGATGCTCGCCCGGTACCTCTTCAACTGCGCCAAAGGGTCCAGCTGATGCTCATGATGTTCGCGCGGTATCCCCTCAAGCACAAATAGGGTCCAGCTGATGCTCATGATGCTTGCCCGGCACCCCCTTAAAGGTTTGTGGCGAGGCTCATGATGCTCGACCGGTACCCCCTCACGCGTCCCGTGCAAAAGGCAGCAGCTGATGCTTACGATGCTCGACCGGTCCCCCCTCAATGCGCAAAAAATCCAGCTGATGCCTCATGATGCCTGCCCTCCTTTCAACCGCGCGAAAGGGTCCAGCTGATGCTCATGATGCTTGCCCGGTACCCCCTTAACTGTGCAAAAAAGTTTCAGCTGACATCGCCGAGGTTCAATTCAGAAGTCCTTAGAATTAGATAAACACAACTTTTCATCTTGGGTTCCAGGTTCATTTTTTATTTCATGCTCCATTATTGGATACCCCTAAACCCTAACCCCTCTTTTTATCGTGTTACACCCACCTTTCCATTCGATTCTATCTTCCATCTGATTCTGCATTATATATAACATATAAATATAAAGGTTAATATGAATGTAAATACGAGCAAATGAATAAATATATATATATAATATATATACCATGCTATTATTGTTTCTATCGGGGTATACCCTAGAGCCCGAAAGCCTAAACCCTAAACTTCTGAGGCCCGGGCCAGCTCAAGAACTTCCGGAATTTCCTCTCGAAGAGATCGTTCCAGCTCATCCTGCGACGCAGGAACGATAGGTTTTTAGACAAGATTCAGTTTAGGGTGCTGAAATTAGGGTTTAGGAGTTAGGGTGTGAGGTCATTTTTTAATCTTTTGGACCTGTACATTTGCCGCAGCAGGCTTTTGTCTATGTGTTTTTTTTGGGGGTGGGTTTAGGGCTTAGGGTCTGCAAAGGGTTGCGCAGGTCAGAGTCTGTACGCTGTTTCGCGACTTGTCTATTGTTTCCCCAAACACATTGCCGCGCAGGTCCTTCCTGCAGTTGTGTGACTTGGACTAGTCAGACTTCGCGCCGCCATTTACACCATGGAAAAGAGGGATTCAAACGGAGAATGAGCATGGCGTTACACTTGATCTTGCGATATCTCGCACCAGTCGGTCCTTCGTCGTCTTGAGGCCGGAAATCATGGTGGCGAAAACTGCCGCGAGACCGCCAGCACAGGCCAGCGCAGTAAGCATCTGTCGCATCAGGCTTATATGGGGGTTTCCGGAATTAGGGGTACCTTTTTCGGGGTTCCACAAAAGGGTTTTAACATGTTTGAACAGTATACTAGTAAACTATAGGGTCTAACTTAAGGTCTACGCCTTTTTCTGCACACTTCCCCAACTCACTGAATCCACTGGGGTTCCTGCCTCATTCGCTAAAACCCTAAACCCTACACCCCTAAGCCCCCCTAAACCCTAAACCCTATCCCCCTAAAACCTTACATAAACCCTAACGAGGAGGCCTGCTCCGGGTAGATCACCACGACCATGGCGAACCACAGCACACTGGAGATCACGAAGGCCAGAATGGCCCATACCTAGACGCGGCTTAGGGTTTAGGGGTTGAGGGTTTATGGGCTTCAAGGTTTACAGGTCTAGGGTTTGAGGCTAGGTTTAAGGTTTGGGGTTTAGGCTTTAAGGTTTTTAGCCCAGCCCTCTTTTTGGGTACCGAACTTTATGTATTGTTTATAAAAAATTAAGTACCTTGAAGAACAGGGTAGGCCATAGCCGGCTAGGTACATAAGAAGTAACAATGACGCTGCCGATCGCGTTGATGAAGCGGTGCACGGCATGCTGAAAGTCGAATGGCGGCAAGTTCCTCACACCCTAAGTAGCCAAAACCCTAAACCCTAAACAGTAGTTTCCATCTTCTTTTCCATTATCCCTACTTGCGCAGGGCATTTTCGGTGATTGTTTGCGTGCAGAGCCGATGGAACCTGAGCAGACCACGAGCACTGCTGTGTCCATCCTGCCCTGCCCGCCTCAAGAAGTTCGACTCGCAAATCAGCAGCAGCATCAGTGCGCCAGTGGCTGCACTGCCAACCAGGGAGACGTATGACACTGAGGAGAGGCCATCCATCCAGTCTTCGAGCGTGTGGCCTCCGAGCACCGGGTAACTTATCACATGCCCGCTTACTTCTTGCAAGTGATGCAACAAGGCCTGAGACAACCCCGGAGAATGTGATGTCGGGGATGTGCGACTTTGATCGCAGGACGATATCATACTCCTGGAGCACTTCACGCATACTGACGTAAGACTTAACACAAGACCGGCTCCTCATCTAAGTCTGCTACTACAAGAGGAACCCTCTTTCACCAAGAACATGCCAAACATGCGCAACATCCTCAGGATTTGCCGCGAAGAACATGCCAACTAGCTCGTAGCACATGCCGAACACCAAGAGCAGGAATGGCAGCAGGAGGAAGGATGCCATCTGCAACAAATACCTCGTCTGCAACACTCTGAGAACAGCAGTGATGTGTTCGGCAGCACGCGGTGGTTTTCCACAGATAGGGGTATCCCAAGATAGATATTAAAATACGACCATCCTTGTCATCGGGAGCCTTAGTCAATTGGGTAATCCGTATGTCTGTCTGATAGCTTGACAGCGGCTTGCGAGGTTTGACCCGAAGCCTGACACCAAGGAAAAGCCGGGGTGGGGGACTGTAACAAAAAGAGGAAAATGCCCCCGCTAGGCACCGCTGTTCACCACGCGAAACTTTACTTTGCTCAACGTTGGACTTGTGACATGATGAGATACAGCAAACAGCGAAACCTTGCCCACCTCCCACATGCTCTCAAACTTAAGCCCCACTATGAAACAGCATGCAACTTCCAAACAAATCATGCGAAGGAGGATGTAACAAGCGAGCGACAGAATCTGGAGTCTACTTAGACAAGCCCACATGGTTAGCACGTCTCAGCCTTATGCTGTTAAGGACCGCGAGGTCATCTACATGACGAAGTTAGGCGGTTGCTGAATACTACTCGTGGCGCGAAGGTGAAGACAGTCATGCTGGTGTCTAAGTCTAGAAGAGAATGACCTGCAACAGAAAGCAGGTAAAGACCTAACGTAGGGGTTTACCTAAGTGGAACTGAGCTTCGGGGTCCATGAAACTGTTTGGGAATGATGTTGGTAATCTATGCAGGCTTCTGAAATGAAGAGGTTCGTCCAGGTTCAAAGCCAAAAAGAACCCGTCTACGTTAGATACTGCCCTGACCCTGTAACACTCATGCATAGAGCCCTTGTTCAGGACACAATCTGACTGCCACTAGAATCTTTTGGAGACTGCTATACTTACCGGTTCTCAGTAGGGAAGAAGGGAATATACCCCCTACATGATCCCCGTATAACATATTCAATATTCCCTTCTTCCCTACCAAGAACCGTAAGTATACTCCCCTCCCCCTTAAATTCAACCCTCCCACCCCCCCCCCAACGTTAACAATTCCAATCACGTGGTATATTATAGTCTATAGGGAACATTTAATATAAGGCGGGGTGGGGAGGTTTAATATCAGGGCGAGGGGATTAGATTGGGGACAGTCACCCCTACAAGTCCTCAGGCCCTGAAATCATGTGAGGCAACCGGGCAGCAGAAAACCTTCGCAGCAGTACGGCACCAAGCCGTAGAGTGGTGCTTGCAAGAATCCCAACAAGTTGTCTGCCTGTCATGTAGGGTTTAGGGTTTAGGATTCTGCCTGGGGTCTTTGCTTATCCGAACCCTGGGTTTAGGGTTACTTGGTTTAAATAGGGTTCAGGGATTTAGACACGCGCATCGCTCAAGGCAGGCACGTCAACCACTGTCCGGTCCACGCTATGTAGCACAGAAACTGCACTAACAAGCTACAACTCCAGACTACTGGCCAGAACAGCACTCAGTTCAGCTGGAAGAAGAAAGATAGCCACTAAACTTCACTTGCAGCGGCGTAAGTCCAAGAGCAGCAGCATGACAGTTGAACGCTGCAAAGGTTTGGACATGCAGTTGCACCAAACTCCACTCAAGCTCAAGCATGCAGTCAA